TAAAGATTATTGGAGAGATCGCAAACAATTAGTAAAACTATGCATCAAGTGTAGTTGTATAGGATCATGTTGGCTCGACTCTACTTGGCTCGAGCATGGGTCTGCCCTTGGTCTTTAACTTGGATCTTGGTCCTCGTGGGTTGGTCTTGGGCAATCTTGGACATGCTAATGCGATGTTGGGTTTGGGCCTTGAACCCAACTTCTATATATAATTTTATTGGTGCAAAATTCATTTGCAATTTTCTAGCCCAAAATAATACCCAATTTGAGTTCACTTTAAACTCAACTCATGTGGACCTTATCACACACCTTGTATCCAGACATGATGACTCCACCTGATAGTTTTGGAGCTTACCAGTTTCGGAGGTTACCAGTTGGAGTAAGTGTAGTGGTAACACTTAACACCTGAAATTGGCATGTATAACATCTTGCCGTTTTGTGTACATTACATCAGCCATTAGTAGTAGTAGGTTGTTATAGGTCATTAGTTATTGCCCGAACTTGCCGAGTGGAAATTGTATGAATGGAATGTGTCTAGAGCTATAGAAGAATACGCTTCATGCATCATAAAACATATTTGTGCTATGTTCTTGCTTCGTTCAAGTTAGTCGAAGTCTAAAAGTCTGCAATGCTACAACTTTTGAAACGTAATTATTGTATTTTTGGAGACAAGACGCCGAATCTGCAAGCATATCACAAGAGGAATTCGTCTTGTAGGAAAAGCAACTTTAATTTCATTTCAACTGATTCTCTTTTCGCATCAAATTATGTTTTCCAAAAGGTTGCTTTCCAAAAGGTTGCATCATAAATATAATTTCATAACTTGAGCATCTTTGAAATGGACATTATGAAAGGTTGCTTTCCAAAAGTCTGTTTTTAAATTTTCACCAAACAAATTTTATTGTTTAAATGGACTTTCAAAATCAAAAGTCCACTTCAATTCCAAACAAATACAAGAACTTTGCGTATAAAAATGGAAGTATAGAAAGAAAATCCAAAATTCTCATCATCTCTCAGCTGCATCAGTTTCACCGCACCATTTAACGAATATCTTTGGGTCATCTGAGGTTTGATTTTTCTATATTTAACGCAGTACACTTTGGATAATCCAAATTCTAAGCGAGTTGACTCGACTCATGCGAGTACTAAAATGAGGTTTTTTGATGTTGGAAACAAAAGCACTCCAAATGTATAGCATCTTCATAAAACCCACACCTTCATATTCTTCACTTAACCGTCCTCCCAATCATTCTCGTCTTCGTCTTCTTCAACAGCATCTGCTTCAACATTTAAGTCCTTCACTTTAAACTGTTCGGATGTGCTACCTGAGAAGAAGAAACATAATCGACTCGATTGTTAGATCTTACAAAAGATTTCGAAATGTGCTGCGAAAATTAGCATATTGTTTTTGTGTCTCGATCGAGTTGACTGATTGGAGCAGTTAATTAGTTTTATAGGTTCATCAAACAACATTCGTCTAATGCCAAAGCTTCTCTCGATTATATGGAAAGGTATATAGGATAATTTACCCTTAAGACGGGCAGACTTACCTGCAGGTGGGTCTTCCTCCCACTCAACTTCAGCATCTCCTTCAAACTCATCGCGTTTGGATTTCATGCCAACCTGGCGCTCGGAGGTCGTGGAATGTATATTGTTTGGAATCTCCATACTTGACGACTCCTTTTCCTTCTTAACTATTTCTTCTTGTTCACGTTGGCGCTTAAGTAGAGCAGCATAATAAGCTTTTACATATTCATCCTACACACAAGATCCGAGAAAAGAAGTGAATATAGTATAAAGAAGGTCATCAACAGAAAAAACCGTAAAACCCATATAAAAAGGCTGTAAATTGAACCTGTAAATTTTTCGTTTCGTCATTTACGGATGACTTCTTATCATCAGTAAGCTCAGAAGAAGCTTTTGAATCAGTGGGCACTTTTGCCTCAGCATTGGCCTCCCCTCGTTGCTCCTTGGTGAGATTCATGCCTTCCTTGATCATCCATGGAGGCAAGACTTTCATAGGTGTATTTGAGGTTGCTGCTTTAACGTCTCCTTTGTCATCGGCACCGGAGAATGCAACTTCAACCTGCCATAAGTACAAAAAGTTTATTCGAATTAGCAGGATGATAAGAATTCATATTAGTGGTCACAACTAAACCAACTAAGCCAATCAACTAATCCAGAATATTTATGAAGAAATAAGGACTAAAAAGAGAAGGCTTTTTAAACATGTTGCTTTACTTTGGTCTCTCCAACATAAGGCATAGAAGTTCCACTGTGCATAGATTTAGAGGGATCGGTGGCATTGTCTCCATTCAGAGCACGGCCAGCAGCATTTGCTCGAAGCTCCCACGCTTGAAGATTTCCGAATTCAGGTGCAGGCAAATCCTTAACTCGGCCAAGTTGATCAATCAGTGGTTTGAGTTGTTCCTACACTCCAAAAAACTTTCAAGATTTAGTAGAGGCAGCACGCATGAAGGGGGCACAAAAGTACAAAACGAGCTAACTTAATAAAGGAATTTATTCACTTGAAAAAAAAGTGAAGCAATAAATTCTAACTCTTGCCGATGAAGAGGTATCGGTGAGAATTTTGGCGTCAATTACATTACACTAAGTTTCATAAAGACAATCACTTGCGTCTTGTTCGCATGTATTCAGAGAATTTTATAATAGTCTGTGTTCAAAAGCCGGCGTGGGTCAGGATTGATAGGTAACAGGTAACAGAGTAATTTTCGATTATGTTCATTAGCTGGTTAAATAAATGTTCAATTTCCAATGTGGTCGGAATAGAATATCAATGTCTTGCCCAAGAAAGATTACACAAACAGGTTAAATATTAACATCAGTATCTTTATAACGAAAAAAGAGCTTATCAAGTAGATGACGAAAATATATATATATATATATATATATATATATATATATATGATTTTTAAGAGAATACGAACCTCCATCTTCCTGAGCATGTCTTTCAACTTGTCATTACGACGTCTGCTCGCATTATCATCACCATCTCCCATTTCTTGAGCTGCAAACTTGTCACTCTCGGCTACAAGTATTCCATTGCAGCTTTCACAGTGGAAGTACTCATCGTACGGAGAGATAAGCCTGAGTGCATCAAGGGCAGTATACCTGCAATGTATTCAAATGCACGAGCCACACACATAAAGATAAAAAATCACCTCAAATCATGTAGAATTCTTATGGAGGAAAACTAATAAATTATTGGGCAGGAAGGATTTAAATGCAAGGATTTCAACTCCACGAGTTTTATCTGGAAATCCTCGAGCACCCATTTTGAATTGTTTTTGGAAATATCTGACTGTATTTCCAAATTCTCCTATACAAAATTAATTTGAACCCTTCCGTCCAATGCAACCTTAGGAAATGCGAATGCAGAAAATACCTCTTATTGCAGTTTGGGCAAACATACTCCTGAACTGTGTTTTTGCTCTCCAGTTCATCCTTCAGCTTTTTCTTCATGCGATGTAATCTGTACCTCACCACATCATATATCTGCAAGGTTATTTATGCAAACGATTAATTCAAACGGAGTCCCAGTCAAATCAATCATTATACACTGCATGAAGTAATGACATGATGCTAAATGCCCTTTACGAAAAAAAAAAAAGATGCAGATAAAATATATCCAATCCGGAACTAAAACTACTCGCAATTAACAAAGATCCAAAATTTTTCATAGAGATTGCAATCAACTAGTATGCAGAAAAGAGATATTGAATATTAGTTGTTGTGCTATATCAGTTCACACCAAATATATGGAGTAAAGAACCTGTGAATAATCTAGACAACAGTAGGACTGGGTATGCAATTTTTGCTTCTCATCGCCTTCTCTTCCAAATTTTTTACCATCTACTGTGGCAGCCACTGCAGCATTGTATATTTTCGCTCCTTTTGACGTCTGAAGGACATGCATAATATCAATCAAGCAACAATGTAAATAAGAATTATAATCAAGGAGAAGCACAAATGGAGACCCAACACTTATTACGAAAGTATCTATAGATAGATTATATACATAAAAAAAAAGAATGTTCTTAATTCAATGTATTTGAGTCCCAAAGATAACTCAAATTTGAGAAGCGGAGAGGTTTTACAAAATATAGTTTTCCAAATAATTAATTGTGGCCATTGGATTGGTCCCTTTACATACAAAAAAAGAGTTAAAAACATACTTCCAAACTTTCCATACATGTGATTGCCCAAATTTGCGATTTTTAGTATAAAGAAACCACTACACGTAACATCTATGATTGTGTCTGGAAAAGGGTTCCAAATACGCCTCTCCACAACAGCCACTTATATCCAGTTGCAGTTCAGTTATGTTCAGTCGTCTAAAATACAAATAATGAATGAGATTAAGGAGAGACGTGAAAATTACTAGAAATAATGTTAGAGAAATAGAACAAAGATTTGGGATATTATGCTGAACCAGAAAAATAAACCTCCTTGCGGTGGTCACGGGTAATTAGTTTTTCCTCTTCAAAAAATCTCAGAGTCCGACGAAGTTGCTTTGTGTGAAGCTTCAAGTCCTTAGCCAAATCTTCCTCCCTAACCCACTGGCGTCTGTACATAAACCAAAATATAGTTTACCATTATGTATCAGGTCGGATGATTGAGAAAATGAACATAAGTGATGCAAAACAAGAATCTAACCTACTACGTGCACTTATTACATCCCTTAAAACTACTATTCCTGTACACAGTATATAACAAATACGTGGAAAAACATATATTATTATCACTTAATCAAGCAAACGTGTACAAGAAAATCTCCAAGATTCAATTTTGAAAGGTGGGCAGGCACAAGTCTTAAGCCCCACCTCTCAAGTTCAACATAAAGGCATATTGACATAAATTTATTCATCTAATCTCCAAACTTCATTTCTCAAAATATGCTTTCTCTTCAGTTCTTCCCACTTTCATAATATGTGGAGGAAGTACTATGGTTATCTAACATGACTCCAGCGAACTCAAATGAACCACACACGAACCACCACTCCACGGAAACTTAAAGAACGCAATTTTGCAATTTTTTGGCAAAATTCACACACGAGTGCGGAAAACTACCTACTAAGATTCTTGGCAAAATTCACACACCAGCACGGAAAATTACCTAGTAAGTGCATCAAGAATGACCACGGCAATCCCTCGGTTGTCACTTCTTCCAGCCTTTTGCTGGTTTTCGCCCTTAGTTGTAATGTCTTCATAGAATGCCCTTGCCGCAAGCTTCACCAGACTATTCATTTACGCATTACACAATAAAAAAAAAAAAAAAAAAAAGTGTCAGTCAATAGTTCCCAAGTTGCTTCAACAATCACAGACTGGTCATTGATTGTATTACCGATTGAAGGGCTCAATGCTAGCCATCTGCTAGGACTTCAGATAACCTCCACAATTCTCAAAACCACACCTTCTGAATTTCCTCAATTACTAGAAAAGATCAAACAATTTTTTGGACCTTATCTAACCGATATCCCAAACCTTCTCGAAAGTAACAACCAAATCAATTAAACGCTCCCACTTATCTCCGATAGTGACGAAAATTCTTATGCTTTCTATATTCAAGGATTTAATTTAACCACAAACGTGTATTTGAGTTCAAATCGTAAAACAAGATGTATCAGCAATGGCACAGGTGATTTTTGCAGAGTCCGATTGAGCTACCCGACGACAAGTTTCCGGCCTGCGACGGCGGGGAGATGGGTGTGGATCGGTAGAGACCGCTGGGCTCCGGCGCCGGCGTTGCTTGAGTTATATGAGATTGGGATGGAATTATAATTAGGTCGCAATAAAATTGGGTTTATATATTGGAGTTAGCTACATGTATACACTGTCAAAACTCAAAACCCCCCTTTTAACACAAGAAATGCCTGAATTTGTTTATACTTTTTAGTTGTTCTCTCTTTTTTTTCTAAACATGAAAATCCTATTTTCAATTTATTATACTTTTAAAATACACTTCCTATTCAATTTTCAAATGTAGGTCTTTGTTTTTTAAATTTAGGAATAAACATGTCGAGTCGAGTTGAGTAGAGTCAAGCTAAATCGTAGCTTTTGATATTAAAGCTCGAGTTAGGAATAAACATGTCGAGTCGAGTTGAGTGGAGCCGAGCCAAATAGTAGCTTTTGATATTGAAGCTCCAATTCGAACCTTAACGAGTCAAAACACATAAGATGTAAATAAAAAAATAATAAATAAAAATGTAGTATGAGCACTAAATAAAATCACAGATCGAAGAAAATTGGGATCCTAAATAACAAGCCCAAAATTAGGTTATTCAGTGAAATTCTCTTATTAACAAAGGAAAAAAAAAACGCTGAATTCACTCCGGCGATCCTCACGCCTGTATCGCGCGTTCTCTGGAATCGTGTTCTCCTTCAAAAGCTCGTCGAACGCTCGAATTAGCTCCTACAGTTCGAGTATTTCTATCATTTTTTTATGCAAATCCGATTTTGAGCTGCCTGAATGTAAGTGTCATTCCCTGTAAGCACTCATGAATCTGTCTTCTTTTGTTTTCCCTACGTTGATAGTTCTTTAGTTATGTGTGATGTTAGAAAATTGCATTGCTGGTATTAGAAATTTAAGGGTTGGGACTTCGGATGGAGTTTTGGCTTTCTTTAGCTAACATATCTCATTTTATCCAAACTGTTAGTTTGAAATTACTGGTAAATTCCAGCATCAGAAGATATAACTTGCGGTGGTTGAGTCCAAAGAAGTGAGGATCTGAGGAGTGACTGGTTGTAGTTTTATTGCTAAAGAGAAGCATGTAACGATTATTTCGCTGACATGGGAGAATCCGATTTTAAAGTTATTGTCCGAAACATTGACATTTAGAACTGAACTTGTGGGATGTCCACCGAAGCGTTTTGTTGGGAAGTAGAAATGATATTAGTTGTTCGTA